AAACTCATTGAAATTAAGTTGACTTCATGATTCAGATTTTCGTCCAAGAAATGTATAATAACTCTTTACAAGGATGGAAAGGCAAAGCCATTTATGAATTTTAAAATAGCAAACTCCAAAATCTTAAAGATGGAATAAAAAAAAAAAAGTACAAAAATGGCATCTCTGTTCACTGAGATTTTAATCATTAGCTGGCACACAAATATAAAAGAGGCTTTGAAAAAAAACCCACAGCAGAAAAATTTAAGATTTAGGAGAAGTATATAACATTAATTAGTATACTGATGTTCTCATCTGAATTCAATCTGGAAATAGAACCCTGCAACACTTCTGTTTTATCTTCTAACACTTCAATTAAAACATAAAATTTAATTATTTGCAGGCAGGTTAAGGAGGAAATTAAAGGAATGGATACATATGTTACATGGAGAGAACCCTCTAACAATATGATGCAGCAGAAGCATATTACCTAAATGTCTATGCTTCTGAATACAGCTATAATAGGTAAATTTAACAAGTTATCTACATTTGTAAACCTGGTGCAATGTACGGTCGTAAAAGCAATTTTATTCTAACCTTCCTCCTTGAAGGGTGCCCTATGTATCAAATATATCAAGTCCAGAGTCAAAAGCCGGGCTTTTGGGGCTACTAAATAGTCAACGAGTTATGCTAGGCCAAGTTATTGAGAGTCAGTTAAGTATAGTTTCCTAGAATCGTATGGAAAGTTTCAAATATGCTTCACTTGTGCTACATATAAGGATTTATCGTTCTTAATTCCTGATGAAATTCCGAGAATGTGACTCAATTAATTCACAAGAAAATGTCCATGCAGGTTACAGAAATGGTTCACGAATTATGTGACTACAAAACTCCCCAAAATTATGGTGCCGATACGAATTTATCGTTCATAATCACTTACGACCCTCAAAAACTGCTCTCGAGTTTGAAAACTGTAAAGAAGAATTATTTACGCTAACCATGTGCTTACCAACGTACTTCCCTTGCGAAATGGCTTTTGGAATTCCTAGGAATTCCTAGGAATAAAGGTGTGAATTTTCACGGTAAATTCGGACTGGGAATTCCTAGGAATTCTCAACCATAACAACTCTGGTTCTAAAAACCTAGAAATTCCTAGAAATTCCCAGAAATTCCAAGTTTATAGCCAACAGGACTTGGAATTCCTAGGAATTCCAACTCAGAGAACCAATGACTTTCCCTGAAAAGCTGTAAATCTAAAAAATTCCTAGGAATTTCTGGGAATTTCTGGGAATTTTTGGGAATTTTTAGGAATGTTTAAGAATTACTGGGAATTTTAAGCAAAAATTTGAGGCTTATGATATAATATAAATACTTTAAATTAAAAAAAACCCAGCTAAAATTCAAGTATTCAATGAAATTTATTTAAAAGCTTGATTAAGGTGTACATGTAAAATATTTTTGATTAATTATTAACATCAATGTGTGGTAATATAAGGATGGAATTTGATTTATTTTTCTTTTCTTGAAAACTTCATACAGATTAATCCTCAATTACAGCTATTCATATAAAATAGTTCTAATCAATCATTAAATTTGGTTTGACACAAATTGTGAATAAAATCTGTTGATTCTTTTCCAAAAAATACAATATCCTAAGTTATATTTATATAGTTATATTCTTGGGAGTGAAGGGGCTAATTACAGACAAATAAAATTGATTTTTTGATTAAAATCTTGTTATAACTGTAACAATAAATTAGAATGAAGTTATCCTAAACTGCAAACTTAGCTGCTGTTTGTACTGTTTGTATTTTTTTTCCTGGACTCACAATGAGTTGGCCTTGAATGAGGTTGTCAACAAGAACCTTGACCATTTTGTAACTGGATTCCTTGACATCTGAATTTGAAAACAAAATAATATATTAAAATATGTATGTTTAAAGCTCAGACCAGGCTTTTAAGATGGCTATGAGGAAAAGGGCATTCATTGGATTCTCAAATTGAGAAATCTCTGTTATATTGAGTGACTTTTATATTGGAGTTAGTACATCTATCTCATGGATTTTACTAAAAAGGGCTGAATACATTATTTTGTTTTTACCAAGGAGGGCTTCTTTATGTACTAAGGTTTGTTATGAATCTTGAATGTTCCCAAACGTGACTAGAGGAATCTTGAAACCTTACTGATAGGTTTATTTCATTGTAAAGCATAAGCTTAAGAAACTGCGGCATGCAAGTGACCGGTTCGATTCTCAGAATTATTCTAGTTTCAGTTGCGCCGAGCGTTATGTAAGCTTAATTCAACCCGCTACATCTATTCTTTTATAAGATTTTGATCACAACGAATATCGCAATTTTTACTCACCACAAACTTTCAAAATCGTAGCTTTACAGATGGCCACTCGACCCTTGTTTGTACCGGTCCATATGTCAACTGTTGTCCCTACTTTTAACTCCACGGCGCCAACGACTTTCTTCTCTTTTACAACACTCACGCTATTCTCGTTTTCCCATTGAACCAGAATAAAAGCTATCTTTAGAAATGTTATATTAAGCAAAACAGTTGAGAAAAGCGATCAACCGATCAACCGATGAAAAGTACATTCAAAGATGAGCGCCAAATGGAGTCTTCTTTGTTTCCGATCACCGGCATGATCACGTGGATCTTTTAGGACTTGTCATTGGCTAGCAAAGTGAATCCGCTGGCTTGCCGATTGCAGTGTTAAGAAAAGCGCCCAACTTTATTCTGACTTCTCCGACCGGTTCTCTGCTTCTAGAAGATGGATAGCTTGGTGATATAAATAAAGATGTGAGCTCACTCTATGTAGAAATAATCGACAAGAATCGATCGTATTACAAATGCACGATTTGTGGCCGAAAGTTGTCGAGGAAACAAAGACTCGAAACTCACTTGAGTTGTGTTGATGGCAAAGGTGAGAAATAACACAAGCCAATCACAGTTTTGAATGCGACTACAAATCGTCTTTTACCCTCATATTTATAAAAGAAGGATACCACATTCGGAAGTGTAAGAGATACATAGATGATCCCAGTGTACCAGTACCTAAATCTACAAAGCTTGACCGTAGCAAGCGTTCAGCAACACGTTCCAACGCCGCCATCTCGATTCCTCGGTCAGTCGTTTCCACTGAACTTAAAGCAGTATTGACAACAGAGTAGAGTGCGTCTTACAAAGGAGAAACATTTGTACAAGAGACAGGAGTAGCTATATGCGATTACAGAGGTGCGTTGGAACTCTGGTCCACAAATAGTTATGCACTGCCCGAAGTATAAAACAATTTTGTTGATAGCTGACAGACAGAGAAGAACAACAAGTAAACTTAAGAGCTGTTATTACTGAAGTGTGACTAGCACTTTTCATTTTTATATAAAGAAGGACTTGTAATTTGCACCAAAAATAAAAAGATGTAATATTTTTTAGGGAGATCCAGTGATTGGGACATTTAAGAAATTAAGTTATGAAAGGAAACTTGGTTGGTACTTCTCACTACTAACAAGTCTTGTTGACAAGTATTTTCAGATCAGAGTTTCAAATAAAGTAAATTGAAGACGTCATATAAAAGGTGTTTTTCCTCAAAGGGTACATTGACTACCTCTGTCTTGTCTGCATGCCAAATGTTTGCAAAGTGTGTGGATGATCCACAAGTATTGGAACTCTTACAAAAATGTTTTGTAAGAATAAAAACAGCAAAACAAATTACAGCAATTAGTCATGAAAATAGAGCAAAAAACTGAAAACAGACTTAATGTAAACATGAATATCGCTGACACAATCTCATTATATTTCACTTTTGGAAAAGGTTGTTACTTCGTTCTTAGAGTAAAACAAAAAACCTTCGACAAAGCACGATTTTTTAAAATGAAAAATATAAACCTTGCGATAGCCAACTGAAGAGAGAATGATAGAAACTTGCTCACGCCGTTCGCTATCATTTTAAAACTTTCTAGGAAAAACACTATCCGTAAGGTAACTTCTTTTCCCTAAACACCACGACTGTATTAAAAATTCCAAAAGGTAGGATAAATAATTTGAAGAAGACGAACACTTTGAAATGTTATTCAAGCGATGAACGGGCGCGAGGGTTTTAAAGCGATGAATGCAAGAGTCATTGTTTTACCAAAACGTGATTTGGATTACAAACTGAAGCAAGTATCAAACGAAGTTTGGGGAAAAAAGTTTTGAATTTTTCTCGGCCTTAGCGTGAGAGAAAACCCAGATAAGACACGACTTACCTCATCTTCTTTCTCGGATCCTTTATGGTCCGCTTCTCTTTGTTAATTTCCCCTTTACAGTCTGTTTTCTGGAGCTATTTGTATCTCCTTCTCACGTTGCTCTTCGCTAGATATTCGCGATAATTCGGGATTTTGGTGAACACATGATGACCATTTTACTCCCAGAATCATAGAAAATTATCAGAATCAAAGTATAATTATCATTAATAGAAGTAGTATTATAAGTATAGGTAATCTCATGATTTCGAGTACAATTTGGAATAAATAAGCAGGAGTAAGTTTTTTCAAAGACTAACAAAATTGCACGAGCTCGTAGGGCAATTTGTGGTCTTTAAAAAAATTTACAAGTGCTTATTTATTCCAAATTGCATAAGAAAAATCATGTGGTTATATTTATGCAGAAGAAAAGCGCGCGCATCACGTGCAAAAATAATTTATTCAAACCCTGAAAGTGACATTGTGCGTTCGGTCAGAACAACCGCTTACGATCAAAACAATAAGATAAAATGAAATTTCACATCTTTAAGGCGCAAAAAAGTTCAAAGTCCGGCCAAACAGTTCAAGGAATTGTTAAGTCTGTGTCCGAATCACTTTCGATGAAATGAAATCGTCGTTTGCGAGGTTTATCAGACGAGGCCTTGTTGTTGAGGTTGAATGTGACAGTGCAGTTAGTGAAGGAATTCATCGTGTGGGGAATTACTGCATTTGAAGCACAAGGACCAGATGAACTACTTGCCACTATTTCCCTTTGAGAAGGCCCACGAAAGCTGTCGCTGTTCGTCTTCGTCAGCTTCATCGTAGTCATCTAAAGACTGGATATTTCTGTGACCGGTGACTTTTGCAATAGACGACCACTCGAGATTTGCTTTCTTCATCATGCTAACGAGCGTTTTGCGGGCACTGTGATTGGTAAACCGCTTCTCGGATGATTTAAGGGTGGTTTGGGAGATGATATTTTTCATCATGGTGTTGATTTTATTTTCTCCCATGGGCTGGAATTTGTACCAAATTTCATCGCCAGGTCCGCTGTAGTATTTTATTGAGAGGTAAAATGGACCACTCGCCCTGAGATTGCGAGGCCTACAGTTGATGTACTGACGGAAAAACGCAACTGGACATATCCCTCCGCCGGTCTGAAACATTTTGGGTTGAAACTGTCTTGGCTTTGCGTTCAAACCTCCAGGTCTGGTTTTCGTTGGTCCTTCAACAAAATCAACAAATTCAAGGCCGTCATCACCTTTCATAATTCTGAAATCCTCCAGTCTCATTCCATGGTGTTCCTGCCTTCCACGGTGATCAAATTGTTGAGTAAGTAGCAACCACATTGTATGAATTAAGGACTGTGGGGTTTTACCACCGAGTTTCTCGCTTTTCCAGAGAATTTCTTCTTCCTCTTCGGATAGTTGTCGAGCTTTGTTTGGGCGCTTGCCGCGGCCAGCTAAGCAAAGCTGTTTCGCTTTCCCGTCCAGTACTTGTTTGGAGGAACTGAATTCTCTGTCGCCAATAATGGACAGTTTATAGCCTTTGTTCTTAATCATTACAGTCAGACTTTCCTGTTCATGATCTTCCCCATGTTTGTTTTTAATTTCGGCGTAGAATCGCTCGAGCAAACTGTTAGGCTGGGTCGGCTCGTAGTTTTCGATTTCCGCGGCAATTTCCTTCTCCAAACACCACTTCTTCCAAACTGACGAGCAAAAAGCAGTGCTTTTTACCGTGTTTTCGTTGGTAGAGCTGTTTTTTTCAGCTACTGTATTATTGTTGCGGTAAGGTAAGAAAATGTACCTAAAACACCTGCCATTGTTTCGCTCGCAAACTTTCAGCGTATCCAAATGTTGCGACATCCAAGGCTCGCATTTGATTGGCTATCTGTGAGTTTCTTTGATTATTAACCAATCAGAATGTATGGTTTGTTTCTTTCTTTGCACTGAATTAACTCTCTTCTGCACTGATTACCTAAAAACTGCATTTATCTTAACCAATCACAACTGAGTAATTTTTTCATGTATGTTATTAGTAGTAGTATTGTTATTAGTAGTGGCATTGTTATCATCATCATTACTATATTTATTATCGCATTTTAAAGCAAGAAATGATATGTAACTCTCGTCGATATATCGAAACTTCCCGTTAAGAATTGCTTAGATGCTGTTTCAGATGTTAAAATTGGCGCAAAAATTTTTTTCTGGGAAAAGAGGGATTGCTTTAAGTCTAAAGTTGATCTAATGTCTTCCTGGTCGCGATATTACGTGAGGATTCTAAGATGTTTCTTTTTATATATAGGTACCCATCCATACTCGCGAATTATGTGTAAACTTCGTCCATTCAGATCGATTTCCTGCAACTACGGCAATATTTTGCTTCTGACCTATCCGACTTTTTATGAATTCATTCTACTTCTTCGTTCGCGCATGAGCGGTTCAAAACAATCAGGGCTTTGTTTGGCATTGGCCCTCTCGTATTATCCTTAAACTGTTTTAGACACCACCGGTTATCCTCAGAAGTTGACTTTGCATGCTTGTTAATTTTTGGAAGTCGTTGGAACATTTTCCGTAGTTTTTGGTTGTTGTCCAATTATTCAATTCTATAGGCCAGACAGGGTTAAGGAAAAACTCAGATCCATAAAAAATAAGCTGGCTGTTGTAAATAATTGGAAGCTAGAAACTTGTGAAATGTTTTGGGAATGAACACAAAGGATGTTCGACGAGGATTCGTAAATCACAAGAAATTCTCGGCCTCGTGGATTTTCATAGCGACCTGGGACAGAGTTGCATTCTATGGAGCTGAAGGAGAATTTGATAACAAGGTCATAGGGAAAGATAAATTTTTCGCTTTGCCGCAGGCGTAGGACATGAAGAATCGAACTTCTGACCATTGATGCACTACCTCTGACCTCTTTCTTATTTTATTTAAAGATGGCTTTTGGACTAGCGCGACTGACTTCGCTGATAAGGAGGGGCCACTCGTCGTCTAAACAATTCCTGAAAGAAATTTCGGTCATCGCGAGCCACAATTGAAACTCCGGTAACATTTTGCAGTTATACGCTATCTTAACATTGCATTCATCTGCTTTCTCTTTATATAACAGGATCTCTCACAATATCACCCCGATCTGGGATTAAGTTTGGAGGTACAAACGTGAAAACGAGTGGACCTTGCTTCACTGCAAATGATAACATTGTGGTTCAACTCGGCGATGACGTCAACATTAATGCAATCTTTAGCGATGAGCTAACGTCATCAGTTACCATACCAGTGTTGAACAAGACAGGACCGCTGTCATTCAAGTTGTCTACTGACGGCGGAAATTCATTCGATTACAATGGAGTGTACACATCAGGTACGTTATCAACTACATCCTTTTTAATTGTCCGTTGAGCTCGCTTTTGTAATCAATCAAAAGTCTAAATTTAAGGAAAAATAAAAAGAAGGAACAGGAATTTTGTTTTCTTAGACGAACGATTTAACATCAAGGTTATTGTTCAACAACCAAGCTAAAAATTTGAAATATATATATTTTTAATCTCCACTAAAGTCGCTCTGGCCAAATAGGATCCTCAAGTTCTCATCAACGAGCCATGTTTGGCTCAAATAATTCCGAATGTGGTAGAGTATCTGATAGCGAAATGAAACCTCGCCTCGAATGGAGCGCGCGCTCTGTCAGTTAAGAACTGAACGCAATTCAGTTGTTACGTCAGCTGCAATTCACTGTTCGTTTTTTTCAGCGAGTTTTAAACTGCATGTTTTGTGTCACAAAAAAAGTGGTCTGTTTCGGTAGTCACAACGAAACTGGTTTCAACAGCAGTTGGCGGTAGAATGGAATATTCGAGTAAAGCGCCTGGTAAAGAGGAAAGTGTTTATGACAAAGTTGTAAAAGAATTCCGCGAACTCGACAAAAATGCCGACATGTACTTTGACAACTTAGACGCTGTCGAAGAAATGTGTTACCAAACGAAAAAAGACGCGGAAAGATTTCGGCTGGAAGCTGAAGTCGTAAAAGAGATATTGAAGAGAGGTGCTTTCTTTCATTTCTAGGACCGAAGAATACAATTTTAAATTGCATTCTTCCGTCATAGAAATGAAAACTGAACCGAATGGATATCAAAGAAGAGCCGACATGAACAGCTGAGGAAAAGATGCCTAAAGCAGCTGAGAATGTACAGCGGCTAACTGTCACTGGTCGAATGTGTCGCTATGCCAAGATTGGATGTGCTTTGGTGTTTGATAAGTTTAAAGAGACCATAGGCAGTAGCTGCGTATGGTCTCTTTAAGCTCATTCAGCCATTTTTAAATCACTGCGCCGGACCCTCGGTAAGGGAACGAAAAGACTACAAGCAGTTCCGCTTTTTGCGAACTTCGTTGTGAGAGTAAAATAAAACGAGGAGAATCTAAGTTTTATTACTCCTCGATGTCAAAAGATATTTAAGGCAATAATTGGTTTGGGTCTTTTTCCTCTCGGTAATTCTCTTGTTCCACTAATATTTCCTCGGAACATTGGTGGTTATTTTATCAATCTTGTTCGTGTGTCAAGAAAAAAGCAGCTACAGCAACGTATCTAAGTCTCAATGGGTGTGGAGTGAAGTGTTTTCTTGGAAGAATGCGTCATGGGCAGAAAGGAGATGTAACAAATGGCATCAGGAGGAGCCTAATCCAGACACATTTAGAGGTATTTATTAAGAACATGTATTAAACTCCATTTGTCTTCGGGAAGAAACAAATTAACGTGTTGTTAATAAAAATATACTCTCCCATACAGTCGATGCTTCTTAAAGATAGTGAAGTTTGCGTCTTAAAGTCCGGATTCAAACGGAAGGGCCTCACAAATTCGAATTTGGTTATCGTTGAAGCTAATTCGAATTAGGGCCATTTTCCTAGAAGACGATTTTTCAGTCATTAACTTCAGCCACCTCGAAATCCCCAGCACGTCAAAATGTTGTAAGTGTTCTTGTCGCAATTCGTTATTAGCACATCGGGCAAGATTCTTCACTCGCGCATTCCCTTTCGTTGAGAAGAAGTGAGTGTAAATGGGTGCAATATAACCGTCAGGAGAACTTAGAGCAACCATCCGAAAATATTAGCAATGTTTCTAAACTTTTCATGCTTCAAATACCAACGTAAGCTCCTATAGAGGGTTGTGGGACTAAACATGGATTGATATTTCAACAGAGTGATGGCAAGACCCACCCATTTCGCATTTAAGAAAACGTTCCTGCATGCTTAACGTAAGCGGATAGTTTTTGACCAGGCGACAGTAGTGACAAGGCGCAAATGATTTTGAATTATGCCACTATATTCCATCATTAAGGAGATCCCAGCATACAGCCATGCCCTTTGATGTTGACTCTTGGGCGCTTCATGTCTGATAAGGAATGCAATCCCAAAAATCGTGATGGATGCGATCGATACCACAAGAAAGCTTTCCAGTGTTTTTTAATGGTCAATCCCAGGTCAGTTATTCTTAATTTTAGTTTAGTAGAACCTTACTGGCAAACAACCATGAGAAAATGCAGTGAGATATCAAAATCGTCTTTTCTAACTGCTGTTCTTAAGAAGCCCCGCTGTGCAACGAAAAAAGGAACTTTAAAGCGGGAAAGAGAGGCTATATAATCAGTGCAAAGTTGAAACACGAAAGATAACTTTGCCTCGATTTCATTGACTGGAACCAGTTTGTTTATTTTTTCCGAATATATATTGAGCGTGGAGCACTGATTTGCTTTTTCCTTCCATGGTGCCAAAGGCTCTGGTCAGCAATGCTGCTTTAACAGGTATGGCAACTTCGTGATGGGCCAACCAGATGCAGGTTTCCTTGACCGCTTTCATCCTAATGCTGGTCTCCCTGTGATATCCCGTTTCTTTCATGATAAGGTGCCGTACGAAGACTGCTGCCGCAACGCGGTAGTACGATTTCTTAATAGCGAATCTGTCTGCAGACAGATCTGCACGACAAAAGTGTCGTCTATACTTCAATAAATACGTTTTTTTGTTGCCCATACTACCGGTGTTGGGGACCCACACACGGTGACCTTGAATGAGAAGCCATTCACGCTCAACGGATATAGGGAATACTTCAATTTTAAAGGGAAACGGGTGTACTTCACTCTGCAGAGACGTATGGAGCCTCTATTAGCAGACTATGGATCGCCCTCCAAAGCCACGGTATACACGGCATTTGCAGCCAAAGAAAATGAATCAGACGTTGTACAGGTCAGGAAAATATGGGGAATACAGAAATATTGATTATTTTAGATATGTGGTGATGGGGCACACGGGAATTCAACTTTGATAAGTAAGTTTCGTGATGTATTTATATTAGACCGTTATTGCCATGCTGGACACAAGGTGGCCTCTTGATTGGGATGTTAGGCGTAAGCTCGTAAGCTCGATAGATGAACACTGGTCCAGGGTTGTCCCCTACCTGGGTCATATACTTTGCTCTTAATGTGCCTCTCTCCATCTATGCAGGAGTGTCAATGGGTCACAGGAGACTGGATCATCTATGGTGGGCCAGCATGTCCTCATTCATTTGTGAATGTAAATGAAGTAATTGTTGTACTTATTTAAACTTTTTTTCTCTTCCTCTGCTCAATATCATCGTAGATCCAGTTGAATGGTCGTGGCTTAGTGGATGTTTTGGTGAATGGGGAAAGAGTTTTTATCAAAGAAGAGATATTATGTTACACTTGCCATCGAAGTTCGATGTCTTTACTCTAGGTTGTCGACAGAGTGTTTCATAATTGATTGATGGCCCAAGCGTGATGTGCATCGGTCTGTAGTCGACAGGAAACAGTGACAAATCGTAAATTGGGGAGAAAAACTACGACCCACTGCAGTATTTGCAACGTGCATCAAATTGGTTTGGGCGAACGATTATTGGTTACTTAGAGCGGCTCCATGTATGACAGACGCGCTTCAATTAAAACATAAAATTTAATTATTTGCAGGCAAGCCGGTTAAGGAGGAAATTAAAGGAATGAATAACTGTTACATAAAGAGAAACTTCTAACAATAAGGTAAAGCAGAAGCATATTGCCTAAATGTCTATGCTTCTGAACACAGCTATAATAAGTACACTTAACAAGTTATCTACATTTGTAAGCCTGGTGCAATATGCAGTCGTAAAAGCAATTTTTTCTAACCTTACTCATAAAGGTTGCCCTGTGTATCAAATGTATCAAGTTCAGTACCTCTTGAGTCAAAAGTTGAGCTTTTGGGGCTGCAAAGTAATAAAATAAGAACCTTGTATCGGTCTAGCTCTCCATAGAGTCTCTATGGCTCATTACATGATAGAACATTGGAGTGCGGAATTTGAAGGTCTGAGATTCGATTCTTTATGTGGACTTCCTCATTTTTTCCTTTGTCCCACGCTCGTTAAAAGACATAAAATATATTTCTCCACTTCAGTACTGAACGCAAAATTTACCGTCTTTCCTATTCTAATTTTACAAACAAGGTAACACTGGTCAAAACCCAACAGGGCTACAAAGACAAATAACCTTAATTCACAATGGTTTAAGCAGAGGATCTTGAGTAAAGGGGGAGAGATTTACAAAGAAACTGCAATTTTGTACTGTCAGGTCGACAATTTTCAAGCAGTGCTGGTTAGGAATGGAAGTCATTCATTTGCCTTATTCAAGTGCAATCAATTCGTGTGGACAACTGTTATAGACATCGAGAGCGAAGGGACTGAGGACGGATTAGGCGGTACCTCTGCTCAGGTGAGTGTCTGATTGAAAAGTAAGAGACAATACATTGACAGGTAAAAACAGTGAACCCAGTGGCTTCATTACCACAATCTATACAAAATAATCATAAACTTGCAGGTTGCGATGAAACGCACCTTCAAATAACCTGTAGCCTTCCAATGTTTTTTCTCCTGCTCTTCCCCTAAAGTTGTGTAGCCTGCGGGTGCATAAGAGTGCTACTACAGGAGCGGCGAAGCTTGCAGGTTTCGAGCCAACCTGTGGGGTGAGCGTGCATGAAGTTTGCAAAGAATCTGCGAGGGCTCTGCCCCGAAAATAAGACCCCTCTCAGACCTCTTTCTCGCCCGTTTTGTTCACCAACTGGAGTGTCAAGGGCCTCCATGCTGGTGCCGCATCTTTGATGAGAGTGCACTTCTCAAAACTTTTTGTTAAAGAACATATAGCCAATGGAATACCCAAATATCATTGGACCTGCTTAATTTAATGAACTATAACCATGACACATTCACCGTTGTAACTCCAAGAAAGCTTAAAACGTCCCCTTAGAGAAAAGTACTGATTCATGCACTGAGTTTGCTTGGAAAAGATTACTCATAGATCTGCAGAGTTAAACCGTTTTCTCTATCTGTAGCTATGGCCGAAATATAACACAATGATTAAGATGCTACCATCAATGTATGGAATTGACTGTTAATTTGACTTTGAATCGCAGGGCGGGGTTAATGCTGGAGATCAGGTGAGTTTTTTCATCATCCCTGGCTCCCGAACAAATAACATCCTTAATCTTCCTTCCACCTCAAACGTTGCTCGAGACGGTAGGTGGATGTTTCGAACCGATGAACCAAGTGTGAAAGCTAGGGGATGTAACACAAAAGGTACCAATTGTAATCACTTGTCTAGTATAATTTAAATGAACATTTCGGAGTCAAAAGCGTAGATGTGTAGATTTCGTAGGAGAGGACGTTCAGCAAATACACCTAAAAAGGGAAAAGTAAGTTAACTTGAATTAAAAAAACCTCAATAGGGAGTCAATGGAACAAACCAACAAACTTTGGGGAAAGTGAATTAAAACTGTACGGAAATAATAGTTTTATCCTCCAAAGTTTTTGTTACTTGGCTTCGCTTTTAAAAGGCGCACAACCCTCTGTAATCATCATGTAACATTTACTGCGAAACATTAAAGTGTTGCAGATTGTACTATCCTTGCTCCACAAAATGTGTCGTTTACAAAAAAAAAGAATCCAAATAAATGAACAACCGCAAACATTTACTACGTTCAGTAGGCGCGCTATCATCAGTTTTTCCTCGCTGATTTTTTTTTTGGACTAGCGCGACTGATTTCGCTGATAGGGAGGGGCCACTCGTCGTCTAAACCATTCCTGGCAGAAATTTCGAGCCACAATTGAAACTCCGGTAACATTTTGTAGTTATATGCTATCCTAACATTGCATTCATCTGCTTGCTCTTTATTTAACAGAATCTCTCACCATATCACCCCGATCTGGGATTATGTTTGGAGGTACAAACGTGAAAATGAGTGGACCTTGCTTCACTGCAAATGATAACCTTGTGGTTCAACTCGACAATGACGTCAACATTAATGCAACCTTTAGCGATGAGCTAACGTCATCAGTTACCATACCAGTGTTGAACAAGACAGGACGGTTGTCATTCAAGTTATCTACGGACGGCGGAAATTCATTCGATTACAATGGAGTGTACACATCAGGTACGTTATCAACTACATTCTTTTTAATTGTCCGTTGAGCTCGCTTTTGTAATCAATCAAAAGTCTAAATTTAAGGAAAAATTAAAAAGAAGGAACAGCAATTTTGTTTTCTTAGACGAACGATTTAACATCAAGGTTTTTGTTGTACAACCAAGCTCAAAATTTGAAATATATATATTTTTAATCTCCACTCAAGTCGCTCTGGCCATATAGGATCCTCAAGTTCTCATTGACGAGCCATGTTTGGCTCAAATAATTCCGAGTGTGGTAGAGTATCTGATAGCGAAATGAAACCTCGCTGATGTTCAAATCTTAACAACGCTCTCAGATGTTTATAATATATTTCAAGAGCAACATGCACCATTGGCTTTTTTCAAGTTTCCGGGTCATTCATTTTCTTCCTTTTATAAAAGGAACATTAGAAAATGTTATCTCTCTTATTTTAGTTCCCACAAATCGATACATTCCCGATCCAGCGAGAGTACGGTGATACATGGCAGGAGGATTCCACGATGGATATTAGTTGGGATTCGGGAAGCATCGGAAGGCATGACGATGAAGTGTCGATTGATTTGGCCCGCTATAAAATGGGAGATGATGATGCCCCTGTACTGGACAGCTTCCGCCAAGTAATAAACAATCAACTTAATTCTGGACATAGTCAGTTTACTGTCACAAAAGGAGAGGGAGACAGGTAAGGGTAATTCTTTTAGCAGTGATGTGCGGGAGAAAAAAAAGAACACCAGTTTGGTATGCTTTTTCATCAAATGAATAACATTCCGTGTGAAACTGCATTGCCACTCAGTGGCATCGAACGCATGTTTGTGGACTGTTTGTGTTGATAAATGTATATAGAGCACTATACGCCTTCTGAATCACTGATCATAGTAGGGAACTCAAAGAGTAGATAAAAACAGTTCCTAAATATCTTTTGGTGTTGTTTTGTTGAAAAATTCATTGTTAAGGAAGGCCTATTCGAATGGAGCGCGCGCTCTGTCAGTTATGAACTGAACGCAATTCAGTTGTTACGTCAGCTGCAATTCACTGTTGGTTTTTTTCAGCGAGTTTTAAACTGCATGTTTTGTGTCACAAAAAAAGTGTTCTGTTTCGTAGTCACAACGAAACTGGTTTCAACAGCAATTGGCGGTAGAATTGAATATTTGAGTGAAGCGCCTGGTAAAGAAGAAAGTGTTTATGACAAAGTTGTGAAATAATTCCGCGAACTCGAGAAAAATGCTGACAAGTACTTTGACAACTTAGACGCTGTCGAAGAAATGTGTTACCAAACAAAAAAAGACGCGGAAAGATTTCGGCTGGAAGCTGAAGCAGTAAAAGAGATATTGAAGAGAGGTGCTTTCTTTCATTTCTAGGACCGACGAATACAATTTTAAATTGCATCTTCCGTCATAGAAATGAAAACTGAACCGAATGGATATCAAAGAAGAGCCGACATGAACAGCTGAGGAAAAGATGCCTAAAGCAGCTGAGAATGTACAGCGGCTAACTGCGACTGGTCAAATGTGTCGCTATGTCAAGATTGGACGTGCTTTGGTGTTTGATAAGTTTAAAGAGACCATAGGCAGTAGCTGCGTATGGTCTCTTTAAGCTCATTCAGCCATACCATTTTTAAATCACTGCGCCGGGCCCTCGGTAAGGGAACGAAAAGACTACCAGCAGTTCCGCTTTTTGCGAACTTCGTTGTGAGAGTAAAATAAAACGAGGAGAATCTATGTTTTTTTATTACTAAAAAATATAGGCCCTTGATGTCAAAAGATATTTAAGGCAATGATTGGTTTGGGCGTTTTTTCTCAAAGCTAATTCTCTTGTTCCACTAATATTTCCTCGGAACATTGGTGGTTGTTTTATCAATCTTGTTCGTGTGTCAAGAAAAAACAGCTACAGCAACGTATCTAAGTCTCAATGGGTGAAGTGTGAAGTGTTTTCTTGGAAGAATGCGCCGTGGGCAGAAAGGAGATGTAACAAATGGCATCAGGAGGAGCTTAATCCAGACACATTCAGAGGTAATTATTAAAAACTCCATTTGTCTTCAGGAAGAAACAGATTAACGTGTTGTTAATGAAAAATATACTCTCCCATGCAGTCGATGCTTCTTAAAGATAATGAAGTTTGCGTCTTAAAGTCCGGAGTCAAACGATAGAGCCTCACTAATTCGAACTTGGTTATCGGTGGAGTTAACTCGAATTAGGGCCGTTTTCCTAGAGGATGATTTTTCAGTCATTAACTTCAGTCACCTCGAAATCCCCAGCACGTCAAAATGTTGTAAGCATTCTTGTGGCACTTCGTTATTAGCACATTGGGCAAGATTCTTCACTCGCGCATTCCCTTTCTTTCAGAAGAAGCGAGTGTAAATGGGTACAATATAGCCGTCAGGAGAACTTAGAGCTGCCATCCGAAAGTATTAGCAATGCTGCTAAACTTTTCATGCTTCAAAGACCAACGTAAGCTCCTATAGAGGGTTGTGGGACTAAACATGGATTGATATTTCAACAGAGTGATGGCAAGACCCACCCATTTCGCATTTAAGAAAACGTGCCTGCATGCTTAACGTTAGCGGATATTTTTTGACCAGACGAAAGTAGTGACAAGGCGAAAAGGATTTTGACTTATGCCACTATATCCCATCATTAAGGAGATCCCAGCATGCAGCCATGCCCTTTGATGTTGACTCAGGCTATGGTAGATCGCGGGCGCTTCATGTCTGATGAGGAATTCAATCCCAAAAATCGTGATGGATGCGATCGATACTACAAGGGAGCTTTCCAGTGTTTTTTAATGGTCAATCCCAGGTCAGTTATTCTTAATTTTAGTTTAGTAGAACCTTACTGGCAAATAACCATGAGGAAATGCAGTGAGATATCAAAATCGTCTTTTCTAACTGCTGTTCTTTTTCCTCTTAAAAGAGGCCCCTCTGTGCAACGAAAAAAGGAACTTTAAAGCAGGAAAGAGAGGCTAATCAGTGCAAAGTTGAAACACAAAAGATAACTTTGCCTCGATTGGATTGACTGGAACCAGTTTGTTTTGTTTTTGTCCGAATATATATTTAGCGTGGAGCACTGATTTACTTTTTCCTTCCATAGTGCCATAGGCTCTGGTCAGCAATGCTGCTTTAACAGGTATGGCAACTTAGGATGGGCCAACCAGATGCAGAGTTCCTTGACCGTGTTCATCCTAATGCTGGTCTCCCTGTGATATCCCGTTTCTTTTATGATAGGGTGCCGTACGAAGACTGCTGCCGCAACGCGGTAGTACGATTTCTTAATAGCGAGTCTGTCTGCAGACAGATCTGCACGACAAAAGTGTCGTCTATATTTCAATAAATACGTTTTTTCGTTGCCCATAGCTACCTGTTTTGGGGACCCACACTCGGTGACCTTGGATGAGAAGCCATTCACGCTCAAGGATATGGGGAATACTTCGATTTCAAAGGGAAAGGGTGTACTTCACTCTACAGAGACGTATGGAGCCTCTATTAGCAGACAATGGATCGCCCTCCATTGTATACACGGTATTTGCAGCCAAAGAAAATAAATCAGACGTTGTACAGGTCAGGAAAATATGGGGAATACAGAAATATTAATTATCTTATATATGTGGTGATGGGGCACACGGGAATTCAACTTTGATAAGTAAGTGTCGTGATGTATTTATCTTAGACCGTTATTGCCATGCTGAACACAAGGCCTATTGATTGACATGTTAGGCGTAAGCTCGTAAGCTCGATAGATCAACACTGGTCCAGGGTTGCCTCTACCTGGGTCATATTCTTTGCTCTTAATGTGCCTCTCTCCATCTATGCAGGAGCGTCAATGGGTCACAGGAGATTGGATCGTCTATGGTGGGCCAGCATGTCCTCATTCATTTGTGAATGTAAATGAACTAATTGTTGTACTTAGTTAGACTTTTTTTCTCTTCTTCTGCTCAATGTAGATCCAGTTGAATGGTCGTGGCTTAGTGGATGTTTTGGTGAATGGGGAAAGAGTTGATTTTGATGAGCTCTCACTCCTGGAATTCACCGGAGTCTCTGTGTTGTATTACACCAACACTACTAGATATTCCGTTATTTTTGATTCGAACATCTCCGTGACAGTCGAAGGGCAGCAAGAGTTGCTTAGTCTTGTGACTTTGGTACCAACAATTTTCAAAGGTAAAAATCAAGACAAGGTGGAAGAATGCAAATTAATTTCAATTATTTCTCTCCCCTTTCCAGCTATTTGTATACACAGTTTATCTTTAACGTTTATGAATCTTTCTAAAGAAGAGAAATATCCTTAGCTATACTCATTTTGAACGAGTGTTACCCGGCTGAGAGAAGGAGTGGTCCCAAGGGGATAGTTGGCCCTTCTCTTTTTAACAAAGAAGAGATATTATGTTACACTTGCCATCGAAGTTCGATGTCTTTACTCTAGGTTGTCGACAGTGTTTCATAATTGATTGATGGCCCAAGCGTGATGTGCGTCGGTCTGTAGTCGACAGGAAACAGTGACAAATCGTAAATTGCGGGGAAAAACAACGACCCACTGCAGTTTTTGTTACGTGCATCAAATTGGTTTGGGCGAACGATTATTTGTTACTCAGAGCGGCTTCATATATGACAGGCGCACATCGAAAGCAAAACGAGCCCGGACACAGGTTCAGTTGTTAGGTATCGATCAGGGAAACTGGAATGGCTTCGTTGCCACTTGTCTCAAAGGTACGGAGTTCAATTATTTTAAAATCCGCCTATGTAGTCCTTTTTGTCAACTACATGGTAATCTGAGTGCCTAGTGGAGACCTGCCAGGGTTTTTGTAATACTTTATTTTCACACGTTTTTGTACCGCGCTTCCGATGCCTGCAACCATTTTCCTGGCGCTTGGGAAATTCAAGAGATGTCTATCCCTGGTTTTTCTTTAAGGAACCTCTTGTGATCGGTAGCTCCCAACTCGCTGAATATACCACTTGTCACAGGGCTAGTTTTCAAGAAAATGAATCACTCATCTCACGTTTCTTTTCCAAGGCTTTTACGTTGCGCACTATTATAATACAAAGCAATCCTTGATTTCTCTTCAATTCCTTATGAGTTTTTTTCCAGATTTTTCACTGTAAGTAATCGAATTTTCAGAATGTTCAGAACTGCCGTCATCAATAATTCGTCAAGGGCACAGGTTTCTTGGAAGGCTCCGTTTATGGATTTAGTTGTTTTTGGAAAGAAAACGTTACTTTGCTCTACGGGCGGAAATTGGAATCCCAGTCTTCCCAGCTGTCTCAAAGATAGCTGTAATAAAGTGATTAAAAATAACCGAAAAATGATTACATTCAAGTGTCTACAAAAAATTTTTTAAGATATTCATCATGACAAAAACCTTTAAATATTGGTTAACAGTTCTGTAATAGCGTCCCTGTGTTCTTACCCCAGTGAGTCCTTTACTGTTTGCATGTTTCTTGTCGAATTGCATCGGTTGGGATTTTAAAGATCGAGGTTAATTTTTAACAAAGAACATATCTATATCTGTTATCCAGAATGCCCATTTCTACCATCATCGATATCGCACGGTTTTGTTAATGGTGGCGGCTCATTGGAAGGTATCCAGTATAAGTTCAGTTGTCAGTAGGGCTACTCTCTTCTTGGTGCGGACACATTAGTTTGCACGGATTCTGGTGTGTGGAATAGCTCGCTTCCAACCTGTCTCATAGGAATGTCAAAGTATTATCAAAGTCCAATCCTTTCTCTTGACAAAGATAGTTTGCTAGATATTAGATACTTACATTGACTTTTCGGCTCCATGTACAGTTCCTACACGATTGATATGTGTAAAGTCATTTTGCAGCTTGCCGGAAACGTATTTTATCATTAACTCTTTGTTTCTTTGCAACTGTATAATTTTCTAGTCTCCTAACGAGTTAATTTATTGTTCGATCAAAGAAAGGTTGCTCACTTCGCAGTAATCCAAAAATGAAAAAACTATTTTATTCTTTTATTCAATCATATTTTGATCTGTTTTGTTTTCTCCCTACATATTACCGTGAATATAATACTCATTAATCTGTTCTCACAGAATGTCCAAAGCTTCCTCTTTCCATACTACATGGGTATGTTAATGGTACGGACTCAGTACCAGGATCGGAGTACAGGTTTAGCCGCAATCACGGCTATTTACTGTTTGGTGAACGGAGATTGAAATTGCGGTATGTCTTAAAGGTATATCTAATTATCTAGCCATTTTATCAGCACCAATTCTCTTCGTGTTGAATTATTCAAATCGTGTTTTTCTGTTCTTCACAATGGTTTCAAGACGACCAGACTTGGCATGAAATTAAGTATACGATTTCTTTATCTTTCAGTGGAATTCTTGGCAGATAAATGATATTTATTTTTTAGATTTAGCCATCTATAGCCTGTTTTTTGTTTTTTGTTTATATTTTTCCCTTGATAGATTGCCTCTCACTGGCGCTTGCACGGAAAATGGTTATAAACATAGCCGTGGGTCGATGGAAGGCTCCTTGGTCTTGTTTAGCTGTGCTAATGGTTATTCTCTTGAAGGAAACAAATACCTCTAGGGTGATGAAAATGGCTAATGGAATGGTACAATACCTTCTTGTCTTAAGGTAGGTAAATTACATATGTTTTTTCAAATTCAAATTTGACGATGATTAAGAATAACCCTTAAAGCTCCTTAATACCAGCCAATATCACTGCTCTATTACCGTTAAAATTACTTACCTACACATGAGTTTTTACGCTTTCTGAAGAACATCAATATGTCAGAAAGCTAACACAGCTACAAATTCTTTTTCAAAGATTGTACTCAAATAAACCCCACTCTAGAAAACGGACACATCGATGATAATGGTCCACATCAGGTGCAGTGTATAGCTTTCTTTGCCATGAAGGATACAGCATAGATGGAGAAACTTCGCTGCGCTGTGATGAAAAGGGACTATGGAATGGTAGCATTCCTGTATGTTTAAAGTGTAGGTTAAACTCTCAGTTTACTGCTTGATTACCTTTTGCAACGGCCGACCTGTGATGCATTAATGCTTTGTTATAATTGCCACCTAATCAAGTTGTGTCTCGCAAAAACTTAGCAAATAGTAGTAGCAGCAGTAGTAACAGAGGAAATAGTGGCATTAACAGTTAAAAGTTCTTTTGGTATCGGTAGTGGTGGATATTTTGCTTGTTGTGAAAGCGGTGTTCCCACAATGCTCTTCATAGTAGGAGGATAGGTAGCGATATTAAAGTTCTCTGTGTTCGTGGCATAGGTGGTGGTGATGATTATTGCTTGGCTGCGGTAGCAGCGGTGATATTGGCAACGGTGGTGATTGTGTAGTGTTAATAATTTTGATGCCAATTAAGATCATTTTTATGTGAACGGTAGGTGTTGCGTCATCTTGTTGCGAGTGCGTGAGCTAATAGCAGTGATGGCAATGGTTCAAGCGTAAATAAAAATACCTCTGAAAGTCTTTCATGCGTACTTCCCCCCTCATTGAACAACTTTCAATTTACCCCAGCTCGTACAGATAAAGAAGAAAAGGATACAAACGGCTGGCACCTCAACGTTCTGAATGGTGTTGCAATCCTAATTCTGATAATCGCAATTGGCCTGTGGGTAATTTAGTGTCGACGGTGGACAGGTAAAAAGTATACAGCAACCGCGAAGGGTGACGAAGAACTGGAAGTTGTGATGAGGCCTAAAGTACCTGTGGATAGTAAAGACAAATGTACCACTGCTCTACAAAATGATCGCTTTAAAGATCCTGTGAGTGTGGTGTAGATGAAAGATTTCAGTGGACCCTAACTATGTTTTCTGGATTTCAGAGTGTCACGTCTTCTGATGTAACTCTTTTAGAGCCCTCTTTAAACGCTTGAATATTCCTGCCGTGACTTTACGTGACATCAAGATATCCTTCCTTAGTACTTCACTCAATATTTTCGGGAGAATTTGAGACCGTGCATTCATTTCAGCTTTTTTCCAGTATTATCAGTGTCAATTTTTACTTTTGACTCTAAAACAATGTATTTATTAATTAAATTATCCGATAAGCTACTAAAGCTATCAAAGGGCATCTATCGCGCATTCATATTTATTAAGTAAATTGGGTTTCCTACATATGCAAGCTTCCGCTTCATGCAAGTAGACCATGTAGACATTTCCTATCAAGGCTCAGGCTTAAAACAAGTGAATTACTCGCGTGATCTGATGAGTCTGACAAT